ATCAGTGGGGGCTTGCTAGGAGTGGGTTTGACGTGAAACCATTTGTGAGGACGAGCGATTCTCTTAAGTAAGAAACTAACAGTGTCCGGAGAGAGAGAGAGAGAGAGGAGAAGAGAGAGAGGGAGAGAGAGATGAGATCTGTGAAGAGAGAAGAGGAGAGAGAGAGAGAGCTAGAGAGCGAGGGAGACAGGAGGTGAGGAGAATGAGTGAGAGTACGAGAGAGAGAGAAGGAGGAAGAGATACCATAATGAGTCCTGTAGCCATGGAGTAAATGAAGAGGGATTGACAGAGTGAGGGATCCTCAAGTGAAATAATGTCAATGCCACTCTGCCCATTAGAGAGAAAGGGGGATGGTGGAGGAGAGGGTAAAGAGGGATGAATGGAGGGACACGGCTACATCTTAAGGTGCAGAGGAAGCACATAAATTATTTGTGACACCCCCACAACACACACACGGCTAACAAAAATATGAAATATGAAACAACAAAATGAACTGACAATAGAAGCTGACGAAAATAAAGAAATAAAAACAAAAAGAGGCCTTGGAAATACCCAATAAATTCTCTGAGACATGTAGTTGGGATATTTGATGTCGAACAATAATAATCACAGTGACATCTGCCTTGCTGCTCTCGGAGGAGATGGGCAGAGCTCAAGAGTGGAAGGGGTTAATCTCCCAAACCCAATAAGGTTGGATAGTGAGGCACTTGTTCCCTGATAAAGAAGTGATAGGATCTGTGGGTCTGGTCCCTCGGCGCTTGTACAGGGGTAGAGCAAATATTGTTAATGTGCTGTGGTTTACTTCAGCTAAGGCGAGAAAAACAGCTCTGCTTGACGAGAGAAGACAGCGGCGAACCAGAATACGACAGAAATGGCCACGCGGCTCGGCTTGGCCTCCCAGGGACTTAACTGGCATATATATCCAAGACCACTCAGTTGCATAAATAAGTGTTCGGGAAGATTAAGATCTATAAGTGTCTCTATTTCTCGTTTTACCTGCTCCGTCTTGTCACAACAGGGATCTGAATGCAGTTCAGTGGAGTGCCTAATAACTGGAGCAGTAGGTAGGGAAGGCAGGAGGCTTGACATTAAGACCCTGGCGTTTTGGAAATCCGATACGCTATTGACCCGTGTACTACTATCTCAGCGTAGAGATCTGGTGTCAGCAGATTGTAGTCTGGTGTTGGGAGCCGTTTCTTACAGGGCTCCTGTAACAGGGGCCCATTGAGTCTGGGAGGCAGCTGGGGCCTGATGGGCTGGAGCTGGGTGGTGATCGATACTCACCGCCCTGCAACGGATGACCTCACTGTCATGGCTGCCGGCTGTGGACACTGCATGCTAGTCATTAGTGCCGGGGCACCAATCAGGAGCTTAGAGTTGTCAATACCTGACTCTTACAGATACTGTGGCCATCTGTCAGTGTATTGTGTAACGGCCTAAACAAATACGGGGAAGCTCTTTTGTGCAATAAGAACAAGGTGTACTATTGAAGGAAAAAAAAAAAACGCTTTCATGTACGTAATTTAAGAAACCAGCGGGTGAAAATAATTTAAAACAGCTTAGACTTAACTTAAATTTTTTTACAGGTCATTAAAAATAGTGCTAATCTGAAAATGAATGGATTAAAAAAAATGAATGAAATGGACAGGAGAGCTAGCCTCCACTGTCGATGGAGCCTTCTTAATAATACAACATTATCCTTATTTGCCCTCTTCACTCAAATCAAAGGGATGGACATTTATGCATGAGTGACATCAACCTTGCAATTAAGTTAGCCATTTAAATGAGAGAAGGCCTTCCTCACCTCGCCTGTTTGTTTTTTTCCTCTCTCTCTTCTCTTTTTTTTCCTATTCCCCTCTCTGTTTGATGATGGGAGAGGGTGAGCTAGAATTAGGGCGATGGGTCTTCCTTTGAGTGTCAGCCTAAAATGATCAGAGTAAAGATAAGAGGGTCTAGCAGCCCTCAAATCAGTCAAAGTGCCAAAGTCGGCCTTTTTCTCCTCAATTACCGGGTCTGTGAAGCCAGGGAGTGGAAGGCGCCGAGCCTGCTGCATTACTAAAGAGACAATCTATTTCCCCTTTGACCAGAGGGAGAGAAATCATTATGGCATGATTAGTAGCTTCGGCAGTGGGCGAGCATGGAGGTACTACAGGAGAATCGTATTAATTGCCTTAGACCAAGGCATGAGCAGGATTGTTTTAACGTTGATTTGTGGACCTGTATGACTAGCTGTCGGAGAGATAAAAGCTGATGTCAGGTCTTAGTTATACTGGCAGACTTCGGGCATGCAGACGGAGAGCGTTGATGTCAAAATGAGCTACCACGGCTGCCCTGGAAGTCTTTCTCTATATGCCTGTCGATGTCTTCCTCTTTGTCTTTCTTCACACTTCATAGTTTTCCTTTACGCCTCCCACTATCCCTCCCTCTACTCCCCCCTTCTCTCAGATGGACTACACCCCACCCCTTCCCGCACTCCCTTTCTCTCTCTCCTCCAACTGATAGCTGCCTTGGCCGATTATTTCATCCAGTGCGGTCCACTGAGAGCCTCCTCTCCCGGCTTTGGAAGAGCTTTAATTAGCCATGTTAATATCCCCTTCATTGGCCTTAATATCACTCAACACCTTCCTCCATCTCAGCGGCCACCAGGGTCCCCCTGTCCTGTCAGAACAGCTGATTATTGAGAAGGATAGCTTTAATCAAACCTAATTGCAGTTCATTCTTTCTCTCTATCCCCCTTTGCCCTCCATTGCCAACATCTAATGGCAGCGACGACTTGATATCCCATTAAAAAACAATTAAACAACCTCCTTTTGTCTCCATGCGTGCCAAAACACCAGCACAAACTTCTGTAGATATTTAAGAAGTAAAAGAGAGAGAGAGAGGGGCCTTGTCTTAATTGCTCTCCTTTTCACCAAGGACCAATTTGCACTGTGCTCATGGAGAATCTTAACCAACTCAAATGTAATGGATGCTATAGCACTGCCACTGCTGTGGACTATGAAAATTAAGCTTATCTTTTTAGCAGAGAAATTGTGCTTAATTGCCTTCATAACAGTAAACATAAAGGAGCTACTTTATGATAGCGTGGGCACTCAATTTCTTGTGTTTATTGTTTCTTAACTTTTGGTTTCGCTGTAGTCGAAACAGTATGTAAAAGCATTAAAGTATCCAAGGAAAGAGACAAGACTAACTCTGAAAGTAATATGTTTCTTTTATGAAGTCAATGCATTGCCTGGGAAATGTATTCTATCTCCCGTTGGTAGACATAAATTGTCTAACAACGGGTGATGCATGTACACGCACATGCCCACACACACACACACTTTGCGTGTGGATGTGCACGCACATACCCACAAACACACACACTGGCCTTACCCAATCTGTATGAGAGGCGACAGACAAATAAAAGTCGTATTTCAGGTCTGCTTTCCGCAGATGTCTGCTGCTCTACATTATGACTCTTTGGGGAAATAAAAACAGGGTCAGGGAATTAGAGTACATAATGGTCATTTTGATGATCAGCCAACAGATGCAACCCGAAAACACAGTGAACACAATCAAGCGAAATGCACTAATGACAAGTCAGGTTTTTTATGGCCTCACCACACACCGACAGGCAATCAGCATTCTGGCATGGGTTAAAACGTCTTTTATTGATGTCCGAGCCAAAGCTCCTTGGATGTGGAGTGAAAATATTTTCTCACCTCTCCTCTCCCTCCTGGGCCCTCAGTGAAGCATAAGGTATAGGAGTCTATCGAAGAACGCTTCTAAATGACCAGTGCATGTGTTAATGTGGCCAGGGTTAGAAGGGTCATTTTAGACTCTGATTTATGGCCTGGCCGGGATCCCACTGGGCGAACGAGAAGTCTTAAGTGTTGTGAAAGCGTCCTCACAGGCCACACAAGCCACTGTATTTAGCTGAATGAAATGGCCGTGCAATCTATGGTGCAATCTATGGTAATCCAATGAGCCGCTGTGATTCTGTGAGCCAAGGTAGTGTTACAATGGAAACCACAGTATTGCATATAGTAATGCTAGTGCAATGTGATGAAAAATAAATACCATGGCACGGTATTTACAGTATAATGAATCGGAGAAAGCAAAAGCACAATCAGTCATGATTCTGTGGGGAGAATTTGCAAAAACAACAAGTCAATTTCATTGTTTATTCTGTGTGGTTTTGTAAGATTTTACACAATGGGCTGCATCTGAGACAATATTTCTTATTGTTAATCTTTCTCTTTTTTAACTATTTTATGTCTCTGAGGTCACATCTGATATTCAACTCTCAATACAAGGCTTTATCAATAAATTCTACGCGTCCTGAGAGAAAGCAGGAGAGGAAGGCAGCTTACAAACTAACCAAGCCCAGATCTCACTCAGACGTGACATTTGTTCAGAGACGATTAGCCAGGTTGTAATTTGTGGCATAATTGCCTCACCCACCCACAAGTGCATGGGTGTGTGTGTGTGTATGCGTTATGCTTGTGTGTGTGTGTGTGTGTGTGTGTGTGTGTGTGGCATACGGTGGTCCCAGGAGTGTCCGCCTAATTGCCTGACAGGACTATAAGTTTTGTGGCGCGCTCTCACCTTGTTAGGTCCTTTATCCCTGATGCTCTTCAAACAAGACCTGGTCACAGGTGGGCCTCATTTGCTTCCCTATTGAACAGGAGAACTTTAATTGCACAGGGGGTGTCCTGGGATTAAAGAGGTGGGTGGAATATCAAGTGACTTCCTGTATGTTAGTGGCAGATGGGTGTTGGGAAAGACCCATGAACTCAGGTGAGGCGATGAGATGACAAAGAGACTGATGCTCTCGATTTTGAGGGAATGATAAATACATTCAACTTCCTTAAACTGAAATAGTGTAATGTTGCGTTTGTTTCTGACTGACTGGATGAATGGATCAGACGTAAATATTCCACAGCATTTTCATTTAGAAAGGTATCTTAAATGGTATAATTAATAGTTTTTGCTTTTGTTTTTGTGCTCTCTTTCAGATTCTTCCTAAAGTTCTTCCTCAAGTGCAATCAGAACTGTCTGAAGAATGCAGGGAATCCACGAGACATGCGCAGATTCCAGGTGAATCTATTTCACACATATGCTCTGTCTATTTCTGTCTCTGTCTCGCGCTGTCTGTCTCTCTTTCTGCAAACACACACACAGTTGTACAAATGCACAAGTACACTACACATTGACACACATTCACATATGAATGTAATTCTATTATTGGCACTGAAGGAGGCAAAAACCAGGGAAAGAGAGAGTGAAGGATTCTGTGTCCTGTGTGCTCTGGACAGAATATTTATTAGGGAATACCATCTGACACAAATAAGGATATAGGATTTAAGAGTGCCATCAATTGTGTTCCTGACAGCTTTCTGAGCCTCAGCGCAGAGGGGAGGACGATCCAACCACATGTAACAACAGTGTTAACTCAGGATCTGTCTGGCAGCGGAAACGCATACCTTCTTATACACACATATGCGCAAGCACGCACACACGCAGGCATACACGCATATGGATGCATGCCCATACACGCTAGGAGCGCATATATTTGCTTTCTCTACATCCCTCTCTCATTCCTACCCACATATGCATACACTTAAACGCACACATATGCAGGTCTCTGTATAGCCAATGAAAACCATTGTAAGCCATCTGAAAACCATCATTATTGCGGGCTGACAAAATGCTGCGATTTACACTAAAGGGACATGACCGTTGAGCACTTTTTACTGCTTCTTTAACCCTCTCACTTCTAATGTGTCAGGTAGTTGAGCCTTGAAATTATTGACGCCCCCCGCTGATCCATTTATCCAACCATCCATCCATCCTACCAACCACATTTTCACCACAAGCAGCCCAGTAGGTCAAGGTGAGAGAGTAAGAGTTTAGTGTGATTTGTCCTATCAGGATAGTGACAAACTACAGGAGGGCGTCCGTCACTGACAGCACTGTTCTGTGATAGACACACAAGCAGCATCCTCCAGGAGGAAGCCCAGACATGAAACAGACAAGACAGGGTGTCCCCTCCTGATGTCACCACCATCAGACCTCCCCTGACTCCTCAAATCTTCCCTCAGGGTGAATGTGGACTGATGCATGACAGCCACCAAGGGCTTTCACCTCTCACTCCTGTGTGTCAAAAGGAATGCAAGAAAGAAGAAAGTTGTAGCATCACTCTTTTTGTGAAACTAAAACATGTAACCTAAGACTAAAACAACAAGATTTTGGATTTTTCTCGCTGATGATAATCCCTTGTCTTCAGTCCAACAGTTAGAATGCCATTTTTCTCTAAATAGATTTCCCAGATGCTCCACTATAGGTGTTTCTCTGGCCAAAGTTGTGTATTCTGAATGCCTTCCACTCCACTTATTACCCCCAAAAACCAGCTGGAGGCCAGAGAGGGCCCAATCCATCATCCTCAGCTTGGCCCAGCTCTGAACCTGCTCACAAGAATGGAGCTCTTTCACTTCCCCTCCTCCTCCCCCCTTACACCCCCACCCTTCCCAAACCAACCAAAAAAAGCGCCCCCCTAAATTCCACTGCTACACCGAGGTCACTCACCGGCGAAGCAAACCTGAGAGGGGCTCTCTGTTTCCGGCTCAGAAACACTTTGGCCATTCACATGCGGCTCACTGTTTGGAGATGTGGTAGCCAAAAAAACAACAACAAAAATAAGCATTATGAAATATGGAGTGTGGCTTGGAATCTGATCCTAGTAAAATGTTTGTTGAGTGATGGGATGGAGTACGGTTCAGTTGCTAATGACTCCAGTAATATTTTAAAAGGGAGGCCTTCCATCCTCAAATAGATGGACAAGCTGATCAATAATTCTGAGCTTCAGCTATGATGACAGTTAGTAGAGTGGGTAAACGGAAATGGTATTTTAGTGATTGAATAGTCAATTAGCTGTACACAAATGCAAGACACTAAAAAGCAAAAACAAAATGACTCCGAAGCAAGGTAATTGTAATTTGATACGTCCAAAGAGAACAACCACTTGAAGAGGTTTGACCGGTAATCAGTAGCATGCATGCATGTACCTGGACACAACAGAATTTCTAATGTATGCCCTTTAACCCAGAACATTAGTGAAAATGTCTAATATAAAACTATATTTCTCTGTTTCCTGTTTAATAAATTACATGTTTTACCTTCACTCTTGTTGCAGGTTGTCGTATCGACGACCGTCAATGTGGACGGCCATGTTTTGGCTGTCTCTGACAACATGTTCGTACACAACAATTCCAAGCATGGGCGAAGGGCTCGCAGACTCGACCCTTCAGAAGGTACGCCTCCTTATCTGGAGAATGGTAGGCACATTTTTACATCTTATAATTTGCTACGCTCCTTTTTCCTCATAGTTTCTTTCAGACATCCTCCAGTTTTACAAATCACACACTTAGTTTCTTCTAGTTCCTTAGAATCTTTTGTTCCTCCATCACTTTCATTTTTTACTTTTTAAGTTGCTTTTTTGCCTCCCTCATACCTATTTGTTTGTCTTGACTGGAAGTAGTATGCATCACTCAGTGTATTTATCATTTCGATATCACTAATTACGACAATAACACTCGGACACTCAGACTAAGTTATGATTTTAAAATGTTATACTACTTCCAGTCTCCTAATGCACCTACATTTGTCCTAAAAGCCCATGTGAAACATGATCAAATTGCTTAAGAATTTGGCTGTGAGGTCAATTTCCTGTCATTGGGTTCTGCAGATTTAGCTGTGAGAGAGCTGAAACAGGGGGGAGGAAGGAGAAAGGAGGGGGGAGGCAAGGGTGGGTTGATAGTGTGTGTGTGTGTGTG